TCGAGAGAGGGAAATAAAATCAATTTAGCGTTCTTGCCTATAAATTTTGGAAAGATTGATAGAAATAGTTATACGGTTGAAAAATATTGTCGAATGTACGGTGAAATCATTCCCTAGGCATTCATAATTTGAAAAGAAACTTCATAATTTGCCCTCGTTTACTTGTATCGTTCATCCTATTTAATTTTAATTTAGCATAAAAATATTGACTCAAAATTTGATCGTCTAAATAAAGGGAAAGTTAAAATAATTATAGTACTCAATTGATTCGAATATCAATCCCTGTGGGTTCGACATTCTAACTTCTTTACTATATTACAAAACTTGACACCGTACACTTGCTGTCTAAAAATCACGTTGCATAAATCGCGTGGCATTCACCATCAATTTGCTAGCCACATTAACGCAACTGCCCCCATCAATTATCAATCTACAAACTCATTCTTGTACATGGCAGCGAGTGTAGAAGATGTATTCTCTTTGCATTTCATCTTTCTTTAGCCCAAATATGAAGAGCTCTCAAAACAACTAATGCAACGCCATTAACAGCATACTCTATGTCACTAGCTTCTTCAAGAGACAACATGGACTCACAATCTTCTTCTTCTTTCGACTCGATCTCACCACTTTTCCATAAGATCATGGTTCGCTTGTTGGGACATTGTGAAGCAATATGACCTGATCCCAAACAACCAAAACACTTAATGCCACAAGCCGTTTGAGATCATTGTTTGCTCATCTTGCCTTGAAGAAAAGTGTCATTTTGGCTTCCAATCAGATGAACTCCTAGCTTCCACTTCAGATGATGAACGACCCTCTTTTTTTAAATTTGCCTATCTACTTTTATGGCCATGTGCACTACATCTTCAAGTTCTACATAGTGTTGCAATTCCACTACGTTGGCAATTTCTCGATTTAAACCACAAATGAATCTTGCTATAGTAGCTTCTCGATCCTCCTTTACGTTAACCCTAATCATGGATATCTCCATCTCCTTCTGTTACTCCTCTATGGACTTAGAACCATGTTTAAAGCTATGTAATTTTAGATGTAAGTCCCAATAATAATGTGAAAAAACAAACCTTCTTCGCATGGCTGCTTTTATGTCCCCCATCTCAGAATGGGAGGTTCTCAGTTCCCGTGCTTACTTATGACCAATTGATCCCACCAAACTATGGCATAATCAGTGAAAACGACAGCTGCAAACTTAACTTTCTTTTCCCCTGAATAATTTGGCAATCAAAGACAAGTTCAACCTCTTGTTTCCATTTAATATATTTGCCATGGTCATTTTTACCTTGAAATGATGGAATAGACAACTTAGTTGAACTAGTGTTTTAATCTAGCACATCTCTTTCCCGATGTGCTCTAGCAACTTGTCTTGGCCTTTGGTACCTAGCTCCTCTATTTCCTTCTATACTAGCATTAGAAGCCACATCATTATCAAAGTCAGCTTCTTCCTCCAATTCTTCGTCGAAATTATTAGGAATAGAAGGCTGTGAATTTGGTCCTCTTGGCCATGGCACCTGAGCTGGGGGTGCATTTCATTAATGCTGCATCTTGTCTATTTATCCTATCATGTTCATGTGTTCAAAGTGTTGTTGAATGGCTGAAAGTATCAAGAATTGATCGGAGTTTTTACCTTTACTACCTTTTTGGGACATGATTAAAGCATCACAACAATTGTGATATAAAATAAAGGAACCTCACTCACTCACTCACTCCCTTACGTGTTTATACCCAAAAATTTGTTCACTCAATCACTCGTGTTTTACTCAATTGCTTTCTTGGCTTTTACCCTCAAATGTGCTCACTCACTCTTGCCTTTTCCTCTCACAAGTTCTCCTCTAAAGCTCTAAAGGAACTGATCAATCAATTGCCAAAGAGATCACTTGATCAAACCAAATAAATTATAATATCAATCCCTAGATGGTTCTCAATATAGCAAACAGGGAATAAAGGGCAAAGAATAAGATCAAAGAAAGGTTGGAACACACGAACTTAAGCAAAAGAAAGAGAACTCTTTTTCTTTTTCCATTTTTTTTTTGGTAATAATGAAAGGCAATGGCAGAAACAAAAGAAAAGAAAATATGCTAAAACGAAGAAAGAAGAATTTAGGAAAGAAACAGAAATTGGGAAACAAAAAGAGGAGGAAAATAACAAGTTGTTTAGAAAAGAAAAATTAATATTAGGTTAATTGACTTGAGATTGTAGAAGAATAGGTCAACTTCCCAAACTTAAGTCGTATTGATTGCTATTTGTTTCCTTAATCTGAAATTTCAGCAACTTTTCTCTTTGTCCACAACTTTTTTTAATAATCAAATCAATCTTCTTCTTTTTTCGTCCTCAACCCCCCATTTTTTGTCCACACCCTTTTTTTAAAATATGCAAATCACTATTTTTTCTTTTTTTGAACAAAAATCACGCGCGTGCGCGCGCGCACACACACACACTCTTTCTCTATCTAACTCTCTTTTATGTAGGACGTAATTTCAGATTAAAGAACTAACAGACTAACAAAAACACTTTAAGGTAAGGGAAAGTCGAACAAGAAAATAATTAAGCAAGGACACACTTGAAATTGAAACAAAAAATCAAGAAACAAAGGAACTGTTGCAACGAAAAACAAGGAAACAACAAAATAAACAAGGGATAGATGAAAACCTATTTTGTAACCTTGCTCTGATACCAAATAATGCAAACCTCAATGAACAACGTTGCGAGACCTGGAAACAATACCTTGGAGTACAAATCGGATCGTCCACAAACAAGGAAATCAAGGTAAAGAAAGAATATTGACCCTGTGGCTATAAAGAACTAGAAACCAATATTATAAAGGTTTGGAAATCATAAATTAGCACTTGAAATTCCCGAAAAGCTGTTGAAGAACAAAGTAGGAGAAAAAATCCACTCAATTGTATATCATCATAACCGTCTCCTGCAATGAGAGTTTCAAAGCCTATTTATAATGTTAAGTTGGCTTGAAAACCTAATAGAAAATCTTAATTCTCGGATTCCCCCAACATAAGTTGGGTCAAAACTGGCTCAAAACAACTAAAATAATTAAACCAAAGGCCTAACATAATATTATAAGAGTCTAGGCCCAAAACCAAATAAATAAGGTCCAAATAACTTATTAAAAAAGAAAATAACTAAATGATTTAACCCAATGTAATTGGGCCTTCACTAGATTGGACTAGAATAAGATTGATGATCTTGGTCTCCTCTTGTAAGCTTACCTCATTTGAGATAGCCTTGGACTTGGTCTTATGTATAAGTTAGAAGAATTTTTTGGATTTGAAGTGAAGAAAAAAAAGAAACAACTTTGCTGACAATTACATATTTTTTATTTTGTCAGAAGAGTTCAACACCTTACGGCACGAGCTAACGACAACCATGCACCACCTGTGTCCGCGTTCCCGAAGGCACCCCTCTCTTTCAAGAGGATTCGCGGCATGCATGTCCTACCAAGCCTTGTAAGGCTTCTTGCTTCTTAGACCGAGCTCTTGTTATAGGGCCAGTTGGTATTTGAAATTCCATGCCTCGTGCATCCCCTCCAAACTCATCCACGCCTTTCCAGCTCATCTTAAGTTCCTTCTTCAAGCTTATATGTTTCATCCTCCTCATGATCCATTCCTCCTAGTTGTCCCATATCATAAACGCAACTAGCGTTAGCGATGATCGACGAGCTTTAACGAGAGAAAATGAGAGTGCGGCATTTAGCTTTAGGGCTATAGAAAACAGGAAATATGAAAGAAAATGTTAAGACTTTGTAAATTAGGGCCGTGAGTTTTCAACTTTTTAATTAATTTTTTTTTTTAATTTTTAAGTAGAGGATTTTATTGGTTTTGATGGTTCAACCCATAACCCGACCCAACCGAATTTTAAGAAAAAATTGACCCCAATCAGTTGATTCAATTTGGGTTGGTCGATTTTCATGGGTTGATTCGGTTTTTGCCCACCCCTATCAAGAAGGGAAAAAGGAAAAGGTAACTCACTAGAAACTCGATGGACCATTGATACAAATATTGGTTTAAGAATTGGAAAATATTTTTTGTACATAATATTATACATAATGATGAAGTGTCAAAATATAAGTGGGAAAATTTTTTATTGATAAGATTTCGATTTAATTAAATATTGTCACATTATTTATTATTTATTGATAAATCATTAAATAAATTATTATGTACACGCTGCAAAATCTTAAGAATCTATTTGAAATTATGGTCCGTTTGATTCCAAAGATGGAATTTGGATGGAAAGAAAATGAATTCCAGGAATTGAATTGCTTAAAAATTATTTTCCTGAGAATTGTAAATTATTGTATTTGATTGGTATAATTTTTTACAAGGAAAATGTTGAAATAAATGTGTTCTTTGGTGTTCGTTTGACTTTGTTTTATATAAAAATTGTCAATTAAAATAATAGATTTTACTGATATTGAGGATGAAATTTGTTTCCATTGGAAAAAAATATAAAGAAAATTATCTATCTTTTGATGTTCGTTTGACTTTATTTTACATGAAAATTGTTAATTAAAGAGAAATATTTTTTTTTTTTTACAATAATTCTTAGAATTTGTTTCCATTTCAAAAAAAATGGAAAAAAAAGAAAAAAAAAAGGCTAAAGTGACTGAAATTGGAATTGTGATAATTACAATTTAAGGAAAAGGTGGAATTCGACTGAGGTGACCAAAAAGTTGGAAAATGAATTCTAATGAAAGAAAATGCTATCAAACATTGCATAAGTAAAAATTAAAATTGATTTTTCATTTTCTAAGAAAAATTTTCACCAATCAAACATACCCAAAAATTTCTCCATCTTTCAAAGGCCTACACAATTCCAATTCAAGGAAAAGGTGGAATTCGACTGAGGTGACAAAAAAGTTGGAAAATGAATTCTAATGAAAGAAAATGCTATTAAACATTGCATAAGTAAAAATTTAAATTGATTTTTCATTTTCTAAGAAAAATTTACACCTATCAAACATACCCAATGCTTTCTCCATCTTTCAAAGGCCTGCGCCCACCAGAAATTGGCGTCCGGTCCACCGACTCGAATACGGATAAATACATGACTAGATTCTCCTAACGTGTTTATTTTATATTATATCTGTCCTTTATGGAAACAATTTTGTCCCAGTAATGGCTTTCTTCGTCTCTCTGTCGCCGACTCTCCATCTGTAAACTCTCTCTCTATATGTATTTGTATGTATTAAGGTGTGTTTGTGTATTATTTTGTAACTTTTAGTTTGGATCGATTTTTAGGACTCCGATTGTTTAAAGAAGACTCGACACCGTACAAGTAATAAGCGACGTTGTATGGCAATCCACGAAGAAAGATCGGGGGGTTATTGTATTTCTAGGTTTTGAAACTCAATTACCTCGAGGGAAAGAGACTGTGAGAGGGAGAGAGCTTTGTCAAACCAATTGAGGAAATTGGGCTTTCGATTTTCCGATTGATTTTTTTTTTTTTGTAATTTTTGGCGTTTGTAGCCCTCTCTTGAATTGAATAAAAAATACGAGTGAATCTCTTTTTTTTTTTTTTTTTTTTTTTTTTTTTTTTTTTTTATTTTTTTTTTTTTTTTTTTTTTTTTT